CTGGGGCCGTGCCACCAGCGTCCCCAGACGTGACGAAGCACTGGGTGCTGCCCACCCTGCGCCCACGCACCCCTCCAGGAAGCGAGGTGTCAACAGCCAGCTCCATCCGTGCGCAGATGTTAGCTGACACCTCGCAAGGAAATTGGTATTCAGGCCCGTTCCCAAGGCCACGAGCAAGTCCCAGGCTCTGGGGAGTGCCAGCCACATGCCAAGCATCTGCCCCTTCCCTCCCCAGCAGCTGCTGCGGGATGGCAGCACAGCCGAGCCTGCTGATGGGAATCTTCCAGCTACAAAAACTGCCAGAGCCTCCTGCTGCCTGCACACCGTGGCCAGGTGCTGAGCACCAAACGAAGCAGGGGTGCAGGGCTGGCAGGATGCTCGCTGGTGCAGCACCCATGGGACCACACAGATCTTCTTCTGAGGCACACATGCAGGGGGAATGAATGCACTCAGTGCTTTGTTATCAGCTCCCCTGGCTGTTCAGCACCCCCCAGGGGGTTTCCATCACTCCTAGCTCCCACCAAGAGCACTGACCTCACCCTGCCCACAGCCCCTTCCTCCCAGGGAGGGCAGCACCTGCCTGCAGGACCAGAGGGAGCTCGGGAGGAGATGAGGAGAGCCCAGCGGGGCAGACCACCAGCCCTGGGTCACACTCGGGGAGCCACAGCGAGCCCTCGAGCTGCCCGTGCTGTTCATTCCTGCCCTTGTGCTCCTCCATCGATTGCACAGCCGAGGCCATTTGTCAGCCTCCTGCGCCAGACGCGCTCTGCACCAGCCCCGCGGGTCTGGCAGCAGGGCAGGCAGCCAGGCCCTCCTGGAGCTGGCTCCTGCGAGCCCACACCTGGGACTCCAGCTCCATGCACAGCAGCCACCGTTTAGGGACGTTGGACTTCCCACAGCTCCCACGTATCAGTGCTCACAGGAAGCTTTTGTGCATCTCCTTTGCATGAGTGCTCAGCCCGGAGAGCTGCTATCCTGCTAGCAAGCTGGCTGGGAGTATCATGGGCTTTGTGCAGCTGGGATCAGGAAGAGATAAAATTCACTGCAGGAATTGTTTGGGCTGCTCCGACCTGCACCAACACACCGGGACACATGTGTCTCCCCTCAGCTGCTAACAGAGTGAGCAGCCTGCCACAGCCAGCAGGACGCGCAGCTGCACAGCTAAAGGTGATGCTCACACCATAAAAATCCTTCCCTGGCCCAAACTCCACAAAACCCACGGGAAATTACAGCAGCACACGTCCAGGTCCCTGGTGGATTTTCTCCCTTCAGGAGAAGGGACTGTCCCTGCTCAGCCCGGAGCACAGCAGGGGCTCTCCCACACACTCCTGCCTCTGCCCCAGCACACGGAGCGATGCTGCCACAGCAGCTCTAGCCCAAGCAGCTTTTTCTGGCTCTAACTTTTTCACTCTGGGTCTGGATCACATTTACACTCATCTCCCAAATCCCCTGCGCCCCAGAGCCCCGGGGATTGCAAGGTGCCCTGAGCTCAGCACCCTCTTAGCTCACCGGCTGCGTTCCTTGGGACGTTTCTTCCCCCGGGAACAAAAAGCTGCTGGCACACAGAGGAGCGGTGGGGAAAGCGGCCCCAAGGAGGGTGCTCCCAGCCCCCCCAAATCGCCCACATCCAGCTGCAGCCCCCATCTTCAGCCCCATCCCAGGGACCCCTCCAGGGGCAGGGGCGCAGCAGCAGGCACCGGGCACCGCCGCGCCGCGACTCCCGGCCCCCGGAGCTCGGCCCCGCGCCCGGCCCGGCTCCTGCCCGCAGCTCCCTTGGCTTCTGCCTCCCCCTAGCGTCGCAGAGCGGAGAGGCTCGTCCCGGCCGAGCCGAGCACGGAGCTGGAGGGCCCGGACCCGCGGGGATGCTCCCGGGCTCTCCAGCCCCGCTCCCCGTGCGCCCACCCCGGGGTGCCCGGAGCGCACAGGGCGCCCCCGGTGCCTCCTCGTAACCGCTGCTCCGGGGCGTGTGCACCAGGGAAACGGGGGCCGAAATGTTATTTACTTCACTTGGGAGGATAATTTAAGACCGCGGAGCGCCGCTGCTTTGGCAGCTCCGTTGCTATTGATGGATGCGCTGCCTTTTCCGAGAGCCGAACAAAGGGAGAAGGAGGCATGTGGCTGGCTCCCCGCCAGCCCGGCCCCAGCTCCCCACGTCGTCAAGTGCTCCTCTTTGGCTCCATTAGTCACCATTTGCTGCTCTCCTGTTTTAACTAACGAGGAGACATTTTGCTGCACGTTTCCTCCCAGGCCAAACGCGTCCCTGGCATGGCGGAGATGGCAGAGCCGTGCTGGCAGGCTCCTGGCAGGGCGAGATGAGCAGCCAGCATCTCCGGCTGCTGCTCCTCGTCCTGTCCTTGTGCCTCTCCTCCTCGAATTTACGGTGGATGGAGCACAAAAGGAGCTGGTCGGAGCCCCTTTCCCTCGTACCTGTCCGTCCAGAGGCTGGGGAACAGTCGGTGCCCAGGGGCAGCCCTTCTCACCTGGGCGCCTTCCCTGAGGAAAAGGGCACTCCGGCTGCCCACGGTATTATTACCCGATCCCCTTTGTGTCACAGAAAAGATTTCCTCTGAGAAGATTAATGGCTCAAGGGAGTGTGAGAGAAATCCTCCAAGATTGCCTGGTTCAGGGCAGAAGCTGAATGCCTCCTTGCCAAGGCCAGCAGCTCCCAGCTGAGCCCCAGGGCTGGGGCCGGTCCCGTGGGCACCCCGTGACGGGGGCTGTGGCTCCCCTGCCCCAGCCCGGGGGAGAGCAGGAGCCTTTTGCTGGGGCAGCAATGGGAGAAAAGCAGCTGAGCAGGGACGTGGTGGCCTTCCCCTGTGACCTCACCACTCCTCTCGCTCCTGGCACCAATGCCCAAAGCGAAGGACCTCAGAGGTGCATGCGAGGGAGTGGACACCCCGACCTGGGGGCTGTGCACGTCCGTGTGCCCACCCCATGGGCAGGGGCTGCTAGCAGGACACCTGCCCCGGGATGGGGATGTCACCTTCCCTTCTGCTGGTCCTGGTTCCCAGCAGCTCCCCGGGGACCCCTCTCCGTGTCCGCTGGCACAGCCCCCAGCCGGGTGTGCAAAGGGCTGTGCAAGTGTGCGTGCACGCGCGGCGCTGAGCCGTGCAGAATAATGCTATTAATGCCATCTGGTGCCGAGACGGAGATCCCCCCGCGCAGGAAGCCAGACACGGCTTTTCTATCCCATTAATCTGGCCCCCCAGCTGCAGGGGCTGGGCGTATGGGGCTTTCTGGGGGGCTGGTGCCAGGGGACACGCACCCTGAAGGGCACGCGTGTCCCCGAGCCCCCCCATGGCCACAGATGGGGGAAAACGGGGAGCCCTGAAGGACACGAGGACCCCTGCTGAGGATGGGGTCCATCTCCCATGCCATCTGCCCTCCTGGCTTCTGTGCCCTTGGCTCCTTCTTTTGGGGGGGCGCAGCCACAGGGTGCCCCCAGAGCAGGGGGTGGGCAGGGCCAGCCCTTGGCTTGTGCCCCATCCGTGCCATAAAACGGGAGCGGCTCCCCTCCTGAGCGAGGCTGCCACGGGTCTTTATTAGTGGGTCAGTGTCAAATCAAAATTACATTTCGAAATAATCTCCTTACCGTGTTAAATAAGCACCTCAGATTATACAAATTGCACGGATTTTGTCTAATAACCTCCCCCTGGCTAATCCTATTTTGCTGCCAGCGTCTGACCTCGATGGGAGCCCAACCGAACCAGGTGAGCCCGGTTCCCCTCCCCAGCAGCGTGGGGGCGCCTGGCATGCCGAAAGCCTCGGGGGCCCTGCTCCCACCAGGGGCTACATTTAAAAATAAAATAAAATAAAACAAAGGGAAATAAAGTAAATTAAAAACAAAATAGTAAGATAAAGCGCAATAAATAAAATAAATGATAAAATTAATAAATTAATAATAAAAATTAATAATAAAATAAATACGGTGAAATAAATAAAATAATATAAAATAATGGAATAGAATAATGAAATGAAATGACATGAAATTATTTCATTCTATAATAAATAAATTATTTATTAATTTATAATAATAAATAGTTATAAATATTATATAATAATTTATCTTATCGATGAATATTTTTTTTGTTTATTTATTTACTTATTTAACAAGTTGAAATGAAAATTATTTTATTAAATACATTTTTATTTTATTTTGTCATTTTATATTTGTATATGCTACAAATATATTAATAATGTATTTATTTATTCTGTTTTTATATACTATAAATGTATTATATATTTCTGTCTTAATATTTGATAAATAAGATAATTTTAAAATAGAATTGTAAAATAGAATAAAAATAGAATAAAAGAAAATAAATAAAAATAATAAAGTGAAATAAAATAAAACAAAATAAAATAATAAAATAAAATAAAATTAAAATAAAATAGGGGAAGTGCTGGGGGCCCCCCAGATGAAGCCCCAGCCTGCTGATGGACAGCGCCCCCCCCCCATCCCTGCAGGAGGGCAGCAGACCCCCCAACCACCCAGCACCCCCGGGTGCTGCCAGCTGTGCCCCGTGCCCAGCTCTCCCCAGCACCCAGATTCCCCCCTTAGCACCCAGCCGCAGGAGGTTTTGCTTTTGGGCTGCGAGGCTGAAGGTCTGAGGGCAGAAATGCCCCCCCCCGCCTGTGCCCTGCCCATGCACACCGAGAGGAGCGAGCACCCCCAGAGCCCCTCACAGCCTCGTGCCCACAGCCTGCGCGGCACGGGGTGGGCACCCCATGAGAAGGGCAGCACTGGGGCACCCACCTGCCCGCCCCCACACAATGGGGACACTTCTTCAAAGCCCCCCCGGGGGCCCAACACTGAACCAGGGAAGCCCAGAGGCCTGCTGCTCCGTGCCACGGGGGCGCACCGTGGTGAGGGTGCCCGCGGGGAGGAGGCCTTGGTGCAGGGCCAGGAGAGCGGGCGACTGAAACGCCGGGGGCACAAAGTTTGACCTCTCTCGGCTGGAAGTTTATTGGCCACCAAACACTCGCTGGGGCGGAGGGAGGGGGAAGCACGAGGGCAGTTTGCATCCGGGGGGAGCAGGGGAGCGGTGGAGGGAGGCACTGGAGCGGGGCGAGGGGTGGCCTTTGGCAAGGGCAGCTCCGAGCTCTGCCTCGGACCAAGCTCTCCTTCCCGCGGCATCGTGGCAGCGCTGAAAGCAGAGGGGTGAGGAGGTCACAGCGTGTCCGGGCTCCTCTCTTCCCAAGCCAGACGCCCATTTCCTCGAAGCCCCGTGGGGCTCCCAGCATCGCCCCGGCGCTCAGAGCCGCGGGGAGCCCGGCCGCCAGCCCGCAGCATCCCCTGCCACCTACCCGCAGCTACAGGTCCTCCTCATTTCCCTGTCTGCGGAGCAAAAAGCAAGGCAAGGGGCGTTACAGGGGCAGCACGGCCGGGATGCAGGGAGGGCAAGCCAAGCCCCCCATCCGTGCCACCAGCAGGAGAGATGAGGCTGCCCCCAAACCAGACCCACCTCCTCTTCTTCTTCCCTCCGCAGTGGAACCGCTGGCCTGGGGGCAAGAGGAGCAGCTGAGGCCTCTCGTGGCTGCAGCCCCTGCCCCAGCTCCCCCTGCCCAAATCCCCACCACGCGGTGCTGCTCCTGGGGCCATCCCCGTGGGGACCCCCGGCTCTGCCCCTCTGCCTCCTGCGGCACCCACGCGCCTGGCACCATCCCCCGGGGAGCTGTGGGCTCTGGGAGAGCTGCTGCCTCACCCTGGGAATGTCAGAGTTTTCTCGGCTATTTTTAATTCCTGACCTTCCTCCCCGAAAGCTGCGACGCTGGCAGAGAAACTCTAAATATTTACGTGGTCTCCTTCCCAACTCGCTTGCTGTTGGGAACCTGCCCCGATGGAAACGTGCCAGGCGTTTCGGGCTGCGGAGGGACCCCCCTGGCGTGGCAGGGGGGTGAGGGAGGGTCCCCGGCAGGGGAGCAGCACCAGGAGGGCGCCCAGCCCTCCCGAGGCACTTACTGAGGATGATGAGGAGCCCGATGACAAACGCCACCACGGCGAAGATCAGCCCCCCGTTGCGGATGGTCTCATAGTCTGGGGGGGAGGAGAGCACCGGGGTCAGCCCGGGGAGGGGGGAGAGGGGCTGCAGCCCCCGGCTGCCCGGCTCGCACTTACCATAGCTGAACCTGTCCAGGCCCTGCTCGGGCGCTTGCTCTGGAAGAGAGGAGAGAGCCCAGTGGGAGCCAGAGCCTGGGCACCTGGGACGGGGAGGTGAGGTGGGAAGGACGGGGAGTGAGGGCTGCGAGGAAGAGCTCTGATTTCCTCCAGGTCCAGCCGAGCCAGGCAAGGATTCCCAAATTCCTGGTGCCACCCCAAGAGGACTCGAAGCTCACCGTGTGTTCGCAGGACGCATTTGCTGGGCGCACGAGTCCTGAGCTCCGGGTGAGCTGTGCTCAGGGACCCGGCTTAGCGGTGAGCGGCACCTCTCCGGAGCACAGAGCAGCCCCTGGGGCTGCCACCTTCTCTGGCAGCCTTCCTCCTCGCCAGCCTCATCCTCCTGAAGGCTGCGTGTCACCACGCAGGGCGCCTTACCTGATGGCACATCTCTGCGAGGAGCGCTTTGGCCAGAGAAATCCCCCTGGGAAGCCGATCCTGCGAGACTCCGGGGCTCCGACCCCACATCTCACCCCAAGTTTTCAGCCAGAGCCCCCCCAGCCCTGAAACCAGGAGGGCCCAGCCCCTCTCCTCGCACGGCGAGGTGCCCGATCCCACCGGGTGGCCGGGCTGGGTGCTGCCCCCCCCGCAGCCCCCAGCACCCTTACCGTCACCCATCGCGTCGGCGTGCCCTCTCGCTCTGGGAGCGGGCACCCAGGGGGAAGCGCGTTAATTGGGAGACAAAGCTCATTAAACATTAACGGCCTCGGTGTAATGGTTATCGCAGTCACGCGGGGAGGCACGGGGCTCCCGCCCACCCTGGGGAGGGAGGCCCAGGAGGGGAGGGGGGCAGGCAGGGGGTGCGCCCACGGTGCCAGCCCAGGACTGGGGTGTCCCTGTGCCAGCCGGGAGGGGAGCAGCGTCGCCCAGCCCCAGTTTCCAAGCATCAGGCCAGCAGGATGCCCTCCTGCTGCGGAGGTGAGAGCCAGCACGGGGCAGAGGGAAGGGCTGGGTGGGACTGAGCTTTGCTGGGGAGGAGCGGGCAGCGTGCCCGGCGGGCCAGGTCCCCGCAGCAGCCGGGTCAGCGCTCCCCAGCCAGCACCGAGCCATCCTGGGCAGCCTGGCTGCACCACGGCCATGCCCGTGCCAGGATGCTGAGCCCCTCTCCAGCTGGGCCAGCCCCGGCCCCCAGGCAGGCAGCAGGCTGCTGGATCCAGTTTGCCCTCCTCCCAAAATCAGCGCGCAGGAAGTCACGCGCCCGGGCTGCTTGGCGAGGAGTGCCCCAGCCCCAGCCCAGCCCATCCGCACACCTTGGGGAGAAGCCAGGCCCCAGGAGGGTGCACGTGGGGCCGTGCGAGCATCCCTGGTGCCACGAAGCCGAGGCACTGCTGAGCTCAGAGCCCCCCCCGGGGGGAGTGCCCAGCAGGCAGGACAAGGGCGCTCTGTGCCCGCGCCCCTCGGGGCTGGCTCGCTGCTCACGCGCTGCCTTCGCCCAGCCTCTGGCCATTGTTCCAAGTGCTGCAGGCTGCAGAAAAAGCACGGCACCGAGGGGGCCGGCACAGCCCCGAGCACAAAGCCCCGTCTGTGCTGGCCCGGGGGGGTTGGTGCCACTGCCCCCACCCCGGAGCCAGGCTGGCGGCACCGGGGGACGGCGTGGGAAGGGACCCAGCTCTCCGCGCCTGGCTCCTTCCCCATGGGGTTGGGCAGAGCTGCTCCCGGCCCTTCTCCCCACACTGCCTGTATGGCTGCTGGCCCAAACCCACAGGAAACCCAAGCGCCACCCCCCTGCGCCCCATTTCCCAGCCCCTCACACCCCAGGGCTGCCCCGTTCCCCCCCTGCAGACCACGCAGCCAGGCACGGGTAGAAACCAAGTTTTATTCCTCGCCCCCCCGACTGACGGCAGCCAACACGCCCGTCCCTTCCCGCAGCAGCAGGCGCTCCCCCTGCTCAGGGGGCAGGAGGGGAGCTGGGGTTATCTCACAGCAGCCGGGGTACGGCCGTTTGCACACACCACGGGGGTTGCTTTGTTTCGTGTTCACACCGACGGCACGCCACGGACACCACGGGCACTCCAACACCGACACCGGGACACGCACACAGCGACACTGGGGGCTGGGGGGCATGGGGGGGCTGCGGCTGGGGGGCAGCACGGAGACGGGGGGGAGCTGAGGCTGTTGGTGGGGTGGAAGGGACAAGGTACACAGGACACGGTCCCTCTGCCTTGCACGGAGGGGATGGAGCCTGCTCCCTGGTGCCACCAGGGGATGTGACACTGAGGGACAGAGCCCACCCGCAGCCCTGCAGAATCCTGCCCCAGGCTGCGTGGTCCTGGCCAGGGACAGGGGGTGCTGAGCAGATGGGGCAGGGCTGCACCAGGCTCCCCCCACACCTCACGCCCAGCACCGAGGCGTCCCAGCAGAGCCGAGCCCCTGGGTGCCTGCGGGATTATTGCTGAGCCTCAACATGGGGCAGCAGCACCGTGCGGGGCAGGCTGCTCCCTGCTGCTCCCAACGCAGCCCACAGACGGCTGGAAAAACCCCCAAAACTCTGCTGGGCTGCTCCACCAGGGGGATGGTGCCCAGCGCTGGCACCACCACGCACCAGTGCTCGGCAGCCCCCCTGGGCTGGGCAGTGGGACGGGGGGCTTGGTCCCCGCACTGCTCCAGGCATAGCCCCGGGGCTCTCCGTGCCCTGCAGCTCCCGTGCCCGGGCTCGGGAGGGAGCAGGGGAATTTCTGCAGCACCACAGAGGTGCTCCACAAACCCCAGGAGCCTGCTCGGCCCCTCGGTGGTCCCTGGGCAGGTGGCCAGGGGCAGGGCGGGGGGGAGCAGCCCAGCTCCCAGAGGCAAACCGGGGGGAACACGGGCTGGGGGACAGCTCCTGCCCCTACCCAGCCCCATCACACTCACAGCACGAGAAAGGTGAGGAGAAATCACTACCACAACACCGGCAACGACGAGCCCTAGAGGCAACGAGCACCTTACAGGACGGTCACACAGCACTGGAGGCACGGGACGGGGGGAGCTCGGCCAGGCTGGGGGGCACGGAGCTGCTGGGCAGGTGCGGGGGGAACCCGGGCACAGCAGCGCCGCGGCTCCCCGGGGGGACCCGGTGCTGTGGGGTCAGGCTCCTGGCAGGCAGGTGGTGGCTGCAGTCCGAGTGCCTGTCCTGGGGGCGCTGGGTCTGCGTGGGGAGGACAGCAGGGAGTGAAGGCACAGCAGCACCGCAGCCACCAGCAACAGCCTGCTGCCACCACCGGCTCCCCGCTCGCCCCCTCTCCAAAAGCAGCCCCCAGCCCAGGAGCTCGGAGGAACTCAGACCGCGGGGTCCTGGGGCAGGCAGGAGGAGAAATGCCCTCGGGGGGCTGCTCCCAGCAATCTGTGAGCCCTACAAATAAAACTGCTGGGCAGAGGGGGAGCACAATGGAAGGAAACGTGCTGCTAGGGAAAATCCGGGCAGGTGCTTCCTTTTCCTGCCCCAGCTCCAGCCCCGTGCTGGGGACGCAGAGCTGCACCGAGCAGACGGGGGGGGGGGGGGCCCTGCAGCCGTCCCCATGCACAGCCAGGCTGTGACAGCCCCGGTGCCCCCCCCCTGGGCTGGGACTCACCGCATGGCTCCGCTTCAGTTCTCTGCTTTCTGTGCTCCCGTTGCTGCAAAGGGAAGAGCAGAGGGGCTGCGGAGCCCGGCCGAGGACAAACCCCCCCTGCCCAGGGCCGGGTGCTCGGCCAGCAGCAGGCAGCAGCACAGGGGGTGGGAGCCTTACCGTTGGAGGCAATCAAGTTCTCAGCCTGAGCCTCTTCATCCCCCGGGGCTCTGCAAGGACAGGAGCACAGTGAAGGCAGCTGGGACCAGCAGCCTGTCCCCTGGGGCATGAGGAAGGTGCCCAGGAGCACAAAGTGCTGCTTTCCCACCCGGGGAGCCTGTGCACCCATCCCACCTTGAGCCTCACCGAGGGGGGACGCTGCCCTCACTCACCTGGGCTTGTGGCTGAAACTGCACCTGCACCTCCTGCCTGCGAGAGGAGAGAGACCCCATCAGCACGGCCAGGTGGGACCGGGCCATGGTTTTTCCCCACGGCTGCCCCAGCCCTCCCCCGAGCCCCGCTCCCCGGCTCACTGAGGATAAGCAGGATGCCCACGGTGAACAGCACCACGGCAAACACCAGCCCGCCGATCCTCAGGCTCTGGTAATCTGCGGGAGGAGACAGAGAGACCCGTTTCTGCCAGGTTCGGGGTGGGGACAGCATCTTGTGCTCCCCGTGGCACACACATGCACATCCCTGCTGGCATGGCGATGCTCACCGTAGTTAAAGGGGTCTTCCTCCTTCTCCTGGGTCCCCACTGGAAATAAAAACACACAAAGGGTGTAAGGTGAGCACACTGCGGGGGGAGCAACCCTCCCGGCTCAGCCCCTGCACCCATCACAGCTCCCCTGCTCCATGGCAGGGCTCTGTGCTGCCCCAAACCACCCCCCCTGCCCCAGCATTTGCCCCAGCAGGTTTCTGCTGCGTTTTCTGGCACCCAGAGGCACCGGTACCCACCGTCTGCCACGGCCACCGGCACCAGCAGGGAGCAGAGGACGATCAGCGCCGCGTCCATGGCTGCTGCGAGAGAGGGGAGAGTGGGATAAGCACCTGCAGGAGATGGGGCACCAGGGCGCACGGGGAGGGCTGAGGGCCACTCATGCCCAACTGCAAGGGAGAAGCCCTGGGCTGAGCCCCCCCTGCCACCAGTAGGATGGGGAGAAGGGCAAACACCCGGCAGCCCCAAATCCTGGTGCCACGGCTCTGCCCCGGCCACCCCAGGGCACGGAGGATCATGGGGGGTGAAGGATGTGCCGGGAAGGGCTGCAGCAGGCAGGCAGCCCGTCATTTTCTGTGGATCTGTGCTGTATTTTGAGCAACCACCGTGCTGCCGGGGCAGAGCAGGACCCCCGAGGCGCTCGTGGCACAGCTGTCAGCACCAGCTCGAGGCTGTGCCGCACGCGACGGGGCGAGCACGGGGGCTGCGATCTCCCCATCAAGGTCACCACTGCGTCCTTCACTCGGAGTGTGTTTAAATTTACCCCAATTAGCATAGCAATTACCTTCCTACAACGAGGCCGGTGACCCCTGACAGCTCGCTCGTGGCTGCGCTCGCCCCCCAGCTCCCTGTGCTCAGCTGGGGCAGCACGGAGGGCCCGAAAATAACCCGGGTCCTGCCTGATGGCACAGCCTGTCCCTGTCCCTTCACCAGCACCAACTCACCGTGCCTTGTGCAGGGCCAGGAGGTGCTGAGCGTGGCCCCCAGACCTCTGGGGGACCCTGGGGATCCACAATGTCAGGGGGGCACCCACAGGTGCCAAGCGGAGAGGGGCCACCAGGCCGTGTGCGGGGGGCACGGAGCTGGGGCCAGCACTGGGGTGGGCCCGGTGCCAGCTCCGTGCACAAGGAGCTGGGCACGGTGGCCATACATGGTGTGGGGCACGGGCAGACACGTGGAGGGCTCGCTGCAGGACGGGGTTATCGGGGTGCTGCACGGCTCCGATAGCACCGCACGCTGCTGAGCTGCTGTGCTGGATGAGCTGCGATAAGGAAGGGGCCCTCCACAGCAGGAATTCAGTGAGCTGGCGGGTGCGGATCCCTTCAGCCCCTCATGCTCCATGGGCACCAGGGTCCCCCGGACCCTCTGTGGTCCCCATCTCCCTGTTTGAGCACCCCCAGCAGCCCTGCAGGGACCCCCAGCAGCCCTGTCCACCTTGGGAGCAGCCCCTGGCCCCGCCGAGGCCGGGAGCACTGTTTCCACAACCCCATTTTTATTCGCCGTATCGAGTCGCTTGCCATGATAATCCATATCCTCCCCTCCCTTTTCTGTTGTCCTGTCATTTTGAGGCAAATGTGCTTTATCTGAACGCTGGAGGCTTTCATTTCCCCTGCCTGCAGCTGCCGCTGCCATTGTGCAGGGCTGTGCCGCTGCCGGAGCGTGCCGCTGGCTGCCTCTGCCCAGACAATCCCCCTCGCGCGCCGAGGCTCGTAATGCTGGATAATTACCAGGTTTTAGAAACGCCTACAAAGAGCCCAACAGCTGGTGATACAGTAACTCCTGCTTGCACATTTGCCTACGGCCCTTATCTCACACATCCTTTAACCATTTTCTGCCCGGGCGGCCCGTGCCAAGCAGCCTGGCCCCGAGGTGCCGTGCCGAGCCGGGGGCCAGGCGCAGGCGCTGTTGTGAGCCCTCTGCTCACTTTTTGGCTTCTCGAGCTCCACGCAGCCGAGCTGCGCTTCTCGCCAAGCCAAGCGTGCGGCTCACATATGCTCTTTGTTTTGCTGCCTCGCTTGGTGCAGCTCGCACACTTCTGCGCGCTCACACCAAGCTCTGCGCGAGCTCACCGGCGGGCCTGGCGGTGTCCTCGCCAGGAAAACAAACACGGCGCTCCGGAGTGCAGATGAGCCCGCTTCCCCTCCAAGGCAGCATATGCTTTGGGAAACGTCACAGCTTTTTGGGGTTGTTTCAAGCTGGCCCACCCACTTTTTTTTTTTTTTTTACTTTTTTTTTTGGTGAAGCCGAAGCAAAGCGAGAAAAGCAAACACTGTGCAGGGTTTGCCTTCAGCCTGAAGCGCTCGGGGCACGGAGCTGCTGCTGGTGGCCAAAACCCTGCTGTGCCCCGGCAGAGAGGCAGCAGGGGCTGCACAAGGGGTGGCTGCACAGCCCCGCTCCCCAGCACGTGGCACTGGATCCCCCCCTGGTCCTGACCCCAAGTTTGCAGCCGCCAAACAAAGCAGCGAGGCGCCCGAGCAAACCACCGCGACCGGGGAGCGCGGCGCTCGGCACGTGACTTGAATCAAAACATGTTTTTTTCCCCTTAAAACGGTGATCGGCTGCAACGCGGGGAGGCAGAGCGGCACAGGAAGCAGGGCAGCGGTGCCCAGGGCTCTCCTGCCCTCCCGCTTTGGCCCAGTCAGCAGTTGTAATGGGGAAAACAAAATATTGCCCCCCCTCTGATTCCCCATCCCCACCCCTATGGGGCCAGCAGTGCTCCGGGGGCTCGCTGGGGCTCTGTAGGCTGAGGCATCCGCAGCTTTTGGCAGCAGTGAGGCTCTGCTTGGGGCTGGGGAGAGCCTGGTGGTGTGTGAGGAAGCAGATGGGGCAGGAGGAGGACCCAGGACTGGGGAGAGGCTCCCAGGGCTGGGAGCAGCTCACAGGCACCGGGGCTGGCCAGAGGCTTCCCCACCCTGCTGCCTCCTCAGGAGAGCCCCCCCTCGCCACCCTGCACATCGTCTGGGCACTGCCCATGTGTGGGTTGTGTGTGGGAGGGGGAGAAAAGGGGGGAAATCCAGGCAGAGGGACCCGGTCCCCACCGATGAGCTCTCCGAAGCACTGTAGATTGTGCCAGAGCAAGGCAGGTGAATTTGTCAAGGTTTTGTATCTTGAAGCCCCCTCTCCATTGTTTAGCACAGACCGGCCCTGTCAAGTCTCAGCGATCACAGCCTCACGCTGGGCAGCCTCCTTCCGTCAGGAGCCCCGAGGGCACCTCCCGGAGATCAGACCTAGTTAAAATCTCCCGTTTCTGTGCAAAGCCCCCAGGAGCGTGGCAGCAGCGCGCGGCTGCCCGGAGCGCTGAGCAGCATACATGTGTGAATGGACACGGCCAGCTCCGCGTCGCGCTGCTCCTCTGCCATTTCATGTCAGCATCAATCTGGCTATTAACGTGCCTGTTGTTGTGCCTCGCTCCCAAATGAGAGGGAAGGAGGATTTTCTGCCCCCACCATTCCAACACGGATGGCACTTCCCGAATTTGCTGCTGATTCCAAGGCTGGCCAGGTAGAAGACACAACTGAGCCGACTAACATCAGGGTATCCCTTGTGCACCTGGGGCACCGCCCCATGGCAGAGGATATTCAAAGAAAACCCTCTCCAGGAGCCCCAGGAACCCAAACCTCAGCCCTGCCCTGGCTGAAGGAGCCTCATGCAGACCCCCAGGGACCCGCGATGACCTGGTGGGTGCTCACAAAATCCCGGGGAATTACTGAACACGGCAAACCAAGGCTCTGCCCGCACCCCGTGCTCCATCACCCACACCTCGGTGCCCAACTTGCCTCCTGGGGGGTTTCTTCCAGCCCTGGGTGATTTGCCCCAAAGAATCAGGGACTGCTGGACAAACCCACGTGCCTGTTAGGGGCTCGCTCACAGCCCCCAGGACGCCGAGGCGCTCCCCCAGCAGCTCCACTCACCCTGCATTTGAGAGCAGCCTCCAGGCAGTGAGCGAGGCTGCTAATGGCTGCCAGCAGCACCAGGGCAAGCCCTCAGCCCCAGCTGAGCAACAGCCGCCTCCTCCCACCTGCTGGCTCCTCGTTTGCTTAGATCAGCAGTGCCATAAACCTCGTTTGCAAATGTCCCTGCCCGGTGCCGTGGCACACCCGGCTGGAGCCCCGGCTCCGCTCGCCAAGCCGGGGAGTCGAGGCAGAGGTGACCTGGTGGCTCAGAGAAGTCCAGGTTGCCACCAAGCACCGCAAGAACAACCCAGGAGAAGTATTCCAAGCTCCCATGCATCCACAATGCTCCCACCATCAGTAGAGCATCGAATAAGGGGTGTTTTCTCCGGGGTGACCTGCTCCGGGATGCTCTTCCCAGCAGGAACCACCATCACCAAGCACCGTGAGGGGCAGCTGGGGCGCAGCCCCCCCACAGGACGTCCCCATGCACCCTGGTGCCCTCCCCATGCTCGGGTACACAACAGCTGCAGGGCCTGGAGGCTCCTTTACAGCCTGGAAACACGCAAACAGCCTGAAAGGCAAACACAGAGGGACGGCCACGCACACAGCTCCCCGCTTACCGTGCCAGGAGCTGTCCTCACCACCAAGTCTCGCCTCCCGGCAGAAGCACGACTCCTCGCAAGCCTCGGGAAAGGAGCTAGAACCAAAGCAGGGCTGTGAAGGACAGGCCTCACGAGAGGAAGACGTGGGCAGCGCCGCGTCCCGCGGGCACAGGGTGTTTGCTGGAGCAGGCTGCAACAGGTGGCCTGGCGCTGCCGCGGCCGCACTCGGCACTGGCAGCTTTCCCTCGCACGCTCCCATCTCTCCACCCCGTGCTGCCTCTGAACGCAGCACCCTGCTGGCACTCCGCAGCCACCTCTATCTCCATTTGGAGCGAAAGCACCCCTGGGACTGGAAACCCCAGCGGGAACCAGCGGCACCTCCGAGCACCGCGGGCTGGCAGAAACGGGTGCCGGGGATGGCTCCACGTCCTCATCCACGCTCGGCTTTCCCAGGGGGCCGCCCTGCCACGCTGCACGGCTCACTCACGGCCCCACAAACCACCTGTCACTTTCCCTCCCATGGCGATATCCCTGCCAGATCCGAGTTCCACCGCATGGCCTCCGACGTCTGTTCCTTCACCAGGCACTACTTCCACCACGCTCTGCCTCTCCCGCACGCCTTCCCAGGATAAAGCACTCGGCTGTTTACCACCACCACGGCGTTACTAAAATATTTAAAAACATAACCCAAACGCTGACAGCGGGGGGGAGCCCCCTCCCCTGTCCCCACCATCCCCACGGAGCCCGGCGAGCACCGGCGGAGGCGACGCACGCCCAGGGCGCGCCCGCGGTGCTCTCCGGTGGGCACGGCCGTGCCCGAGCATCCTCCCCGCGGGGGGGTCGGGATCCAGGCGACGAGGGGACGAGGGGACCTCGGTGCCACCGTTACCATGGCAGCCGCCGGCCGGGGATGCTGGGGGCCCGAGGCGCAAGGCGATGCCCCGGGCACCGACGGCTCCCCCGTGGCGCACGGCGACCCCCGGGCGCACGGCCCCGGCCCCCCTCGGTTGCCCCCCCGAGGCGGTGCCGGGCAGCCGAAAGGCGCTGGGGGGATGCTGGGGGGCGTGAGGATGTGCCCCCCATCCCTCGGACCCACCTGAGTTTGCCGGGGGTGGGGGGGAGAGGGACTGGGGCCGGTGCCCCCCGCTGCTCCGGGCCGGGCGGCGACGGGCGGCGAGCGGCGGCTGCACAAAGGCGAGCGGGGAAGGGGGGGCCGGGAGGGGCCGGGAGGGGAGGGGAGGGAAAGGGAAGGGAAAGGGAGGGGAGGGGGCGGCGCCTGCCGCAGGGTGGGGGGCGGCGGCGGCACCGGGAGGGGGGCTGCGGGCTCGGGGGTGGGGCTGGGGGCTTGGGGATGGGGTGGGAGCAAGGGGATGGGGGCTCAGGAATGGGGGCTCGGGGATGGGGGCTCGGGGATGGGGCTGGGGACTTGGGGAAGGGGCTCGAGGTTGGGGATGGGGGCTCGGGAATGGGGGTTCAGGCTCGGCGATGGGGGCTCGGGGCTCAGGGATGGGGGCTCGGGGATGGGCACAGCTCGCCCCCAGCATCCGCTCTGCCCCCAGGTGCCCAGCAGCAGGGGCTTCGCCTTGCCCACCACCCCCAAGAACCATCGGGCAGCTGAAGGGGATCACACCGCCGGGTGGTCCGGCGTGCAGGGCTCGGGCAGCTCTTGGGGGCCACTTCCAGCCCGACAGCACCTGCTTTACCCCAAGGTGTGCTCGGGACCTGCTCCTTGTTCTGACTCTCCCCAGGCCCACCAGCTGCAGAAGGAAAGCAGGCAGCAGCCAGCTGAGCCTCCAGCCTTAACTGGAGCTGGGGTGAGGTGTGGGCACCACCGGGCTCCTCTCCCCACCAGGCCAGCCCGGCACACCCGTGTCTGCTCGGCCCCAGAGCCGCCCTGGAGAGCCATTTCTTCACGGAAAAGCACTTGGGCAGTGCCATCAGCTCCGAGACGGTTCCTCCCCTAATAACTCAAATGCATCTGAGATAGAAATCAGCCTCACAGACAATAATGGCACATATTGTGCCGCGTGCTTGTTTCCCAGTTTCCAGTAAAATCTAAAAAGCAGATAAAGCAGCCCTGGCATTTCAAGGCAATTATGCAGAAGGGTCAGGAGACACAGACCAACAGAGAGGAGCTGGACAACGTCACGTCTTTGTAATGCACTGGGATAACATGATAAGGCTGTCAGTCACCCTGCAGTGAGGGAGGCAGGGATGGAGCAGTTATAATCAAGTTTGGGGCTTCTCTGACCTTCCCCAGCCCTCAGCTGTTATTATCCACTGCACGCAACAAAATATTTCGGTGCCGTGATCGTGCCTGGGGACGGCAGCAAGGGCGGTGGGTGCTTGTGAATTGGCCATGGCCAGGGGATGCTGGCTGGCTCCAGCTCCTGCAGCGCTGGGTATTTGATGCTTTCTCCTTTTTTTCTAGTACCTTTATTCCCTTTATTCACAAATCTTCCAGGCGCCGCCCAAGGCAAGCAGAATCGTAAAAAGCTGTCACCGTGGGCTTTTTGGCTTTTTTTCTGTACAAACTCAGGTGGATCAGAGGGCAGGTTGTGAGCACAGCAAGCCGAGGGGCCGCCAGGCTGCTCCCATGGAGGGCAGCTGCTCCAGCAGCCAGCACTCGCACGGCAGCGCCGTCACTGCTGGAGGGAACCTGGAGGAGCTGGGGCTCCTTTTCTGTCGAAGCGGGGCCAAAGCTTTTTGTTGGTGTTTGCAGGCGACTCTGATTTATGCTAGTGAAGGGGCTGGGGTGACCGCCTCGTGCTATTCGAGCCGGTGGGAACGTTGCCAGGAGCTTTAACGAGGACATGATTTCATCTCGCTGTGGGTTGTCTTACGCTGGAGCAAAAGGGAGCAGCGCGGGGCGGGCGCCTTCCCGGGGAGAAGGGAGGGAGAGGAGCTGCTTGCTCTCCAGAACTTTCCCCTCCGATTGTAAGACCTTTCTGGGGGGGGGGTTGGCCATTTCTCCAACTCACAGATGGCCACGAGAGTGGGTCAGGAGACCGAGAGACAGGAGAGAGCTGCGGGAAGGGGCAGGGAGCAGCAGGAGCCCTTCTCGATTTAGCAGGGCCTCAGCGCCATGCGTTCTCCACTCAGACTTTTCTTGCCTAAAAATACAAAAAACATTGCCTTATAAAATAAATACCAAAAATATTGCCCTAAGATACCAAAAAAATATAAAATACGACCTCCAATACGTTGTCCCTGCCTGCCACCTTCCCCCGCAATGCACCCTGCTTGTCCCGGGGCCCCTCCGGCCAGCCGGAGCCCTGCGCGCTGGGCGTTCCTTCAGCACAGCCTGCACTAATTTTAGCCGTGATGAGATGTTTGGGTTGGGAGCAGGAAAGCCCATCCCAGAGGCCGTGGGATAAAGCAGCGCCGCAGTACAGTAACATTAAACCAGGGTCCAGGGCTGGAGCCCCGCGGGGATGCTGGAAGGGGACAAATTCTGTCCCCACCTCGCCCAGGAACGCCTGGACCAGCGCTCAGCGCCAGGTTGTGCAGAGCCACGCGTCTGCTTTTAACCCAATGGCATCTCCCTGCATTAGGCCTAAGCCATTCCTTGTGGTCTGAGTGATCCTGCGAGGAAACAGCAAAGCAGCAGGCGATATTAAAGCTTCTCAAGTTCGCGCTCTCCAGCAGCGCTCAGCCAGCCCGGGGATTGCACAAGCTGAAGTTCAGCGACTCCGTGCCAAGCCGTGATGTTCCCCAGCACAGGAGGGAACCAATCTGAAGATTCTTCTCCACAAAACATTTTCGGAGAGAAACGTCATCTCTGAAACCCTATAAACAAACCAGCTTCCACACGACCGAAGGGAGAGCTATAAAAGGAGAGTTTGGGAAAAACACCACTAATGGGCGGTGATTCACATGGTGCCGGTCAGACTGCATTTCTGTAATTTCTGTTCCTTGGGGATGCTGGCCTGCGATTTTCAGAGCACAGAGCAACGTGGAGGCAGCCCGGCCAGATGTGGATGAGCAGATGCAGAGCAGCAAGCAGGGCCCAGCCCTCCTGGAGGGGTTTGCCCACCGTGAGCTGCCCTGCACAGACAGGGCTTGCTGAGAGCAACACTGAAGCCCAGATGACCACCAGCAAAATGCACTGGATTATCCCAAACCCCGCTGAGATCTCTGCCCTCAGCTCCTGACAAGCTGGATACACGGAAAAAATGGTTTGGTGCAAGAGATGAGCCACAGCAGAGAGCAAACCCTCTCTGGAGGCAGTGGTGAGAGGAGCACCAGGCAGGGAGAGGGGAAATGTTTCACCCCGCGGGTCCTGGCCCGGCTCCTGCCCTGCCCGTGCTGTGCTGCACGATGGAAGCAGGAGCTGTTTGCTCAGGTGCTCTAGGAGCAGAGACGAAGATGTGCCCGAGGCATCTGCTGCATCTGCACCGTGTTTTCTTTGGGAACAGCAGAGCACAAAACCCCCGGCCAGGCAGCTGCACGAGAAACTAATCGTTTCTAATCTGGTTAGAAAACTTCAGCCCCTGGGGAAACACAGCACAGCTTTCCGTGAGCCTGGCAGGAGAGCCCACTGGATGTCAGGTTTAGAAGAAATAAATTAAATTTGTATTAGGGTCTGCAATCACTTCGCTGCTTGGAGAGGCTATTTCAGAGAGCGGAGGAGTAATAACCCGCGAGGAGGTGAAATCCTCTGCAGAGGTGCGGGTCCTCCATGCACCGAAATGGCCCCATTACCAGGAACATAGTTCCAGCAAGATCAGCTCTTATTGGGCTCCAATTTTTGCTTTATTCTCTTTCAGAAGATCTGTTTCTCCAACATGCCATCTCAGACAGCAATAAAACATTATGAGCTGCTGCTCTGTGCTGCACACTGCGACTTTTACGAGCAGTAACGCAGAGATCCCAGAGAGCCTTTGTACAAATGTGAGCTGGCGCTGTAACTCACATCCCAGGGAACTCACGATTTAATCAGACCGACATAAAACAGGGGAGCCGTGCGGGGGCCCTGCTCGTATCCCAGCCCAGCTGCCTTCTTTTTCACAAAAATCATTGCCTTCCCTGGCCCGCACGCGGAGCGGCTGGCCATAACCACCAGCAAACGGGATGCTCCATGCACGGGAGCCAGAGCCCTGCTGCCCCGGGGCACCTCCTGCCCCCAGGGACACCGCAGGAGGCACGGAGCAGCGCTGTCAGCGCCCCCAGCCCAGCACCGTGAGCCTGCCAGCTCTGCCCTGCACAGCCCAGCGCCCCGTGGCTGCTGAGGCACGTTGGCCCTTGGCTCTTCTTCACGTTCCCATTTTTAGCCGTGGTTTCCAGCGCTGTTCTACCAGCAGCAGCTGTCACAGCAAGGCTGCTGGTCTGGCTCCACGTCCCCAGGAACGAATCCCTCCCTGCCCCGAGCCACGGCAGGTCCCCTCCCCGCGCTGGCGGAGCTGCAGGGCCACTGCAAAGTGAGCCAAAAACCTTCTCTCGGCCTCCACGCCTTCAAAGCAGCCTCAGAGCACGTCGTGGGAGGTTTCTGCGTTGCTTCTTTGAAAAGCTGTTTGAGGTCAGGCTGACTCAGGGCTTCCCAAAAGGCAACAGCTCGCATTGTTTGGGCGCAGGGCGAGAGCCACCAAGCGCCGCCCGGCCTGCTGGGGCCAGCACCGGGGCCGGGGGGAGGTAGGTGCTTTCTGCACACGCAGAGCCAGACTTTGATCAGTTATCCCAAAATTCAACTGCAAACCACAGCCCTCGGCGTGCCAGCAGCCTTGTCCCCAGTGGGCGGGCGTTCTGGGAACCTACGTGCGCTCCTGGGAAGCGAGGAGGGGACAGGGACGCGCCTGTGGCTGCCCACGCACCACAGCAGCTTCTCGGCTTTGCTTGGCAGGTATTGCCTGCAGCTCCCACGGCCCTGCAAGGCTGGAGGAGGCCGGCTGTGGTGTGCAAGGAGCCCCCCACACAGCACCAAGGGTCAGCCAGCCACCCCTCCAGGCTACTTGGGGGGCAAACGGGTCAGAAAGCAGCTGCCCAGCCCTGGGAAGTCCTGCGCTCACATCACCGGCGAGCTGATTTCTGCACCTCCTCCACAGGATGTGCTGCGGTGCTGAGCCCTCGGCCCCGGGGTCAGCTCCCCCCTGCCCTGCCACCATCCCCCCCAGGGAAGGAAGCAGCAGCTCCAGGGGGCAGAGGCAGGGACGGGTGGGAGACAGCTCCAGGCTGCTCCCAAGACGGTGCCACTGATCCCCATCTGATAAAGAACTGCAGCCCCCACAGCTGGGGATGCTGCAAAGAGAGATGTCTGTCCGAGCCCTGACCCAGCCGCTGCTCCATCACCTGCACCCCCATGAAATAAAATCCAGGAGCCAACGTGCAGTGGATGCTGAGCACTGTGCACTGCGTGGCAGCATGGAGCTCTGGCCCCATCCTTGCTCCATCCTCACTGCACCCCCTGCAGCACACTTGGCCTTGCTGCTGGAGCCCAGCGAGCCAGGAGGTGAGGGCAGCCCTGGAGCCCCACTGCACAGCCCCAGCCTAGGTCTGGGCCCAGCAGCTTCCCCCAGCAGGTCCCAAAGAGCCTGTCTGCGTGCAAGCAGTACCGAAACGTTTATTGAGAGTGCAGGGCAGCCGCGCACACTGGGGACCTCCACAGCCGACCACACACTGGGGGGCTTCCATCCATCCATCCATCCAGAGGTGCACTGCCTCAAAACATCTGCTCCAGGGCACAGGCTGAGCGTGGATGTTCCCTTCGGTGACACCGTGCAGCATGGCCCTGGGACAGGCAAGCTCTGGGCGCTCATCAGGTGAGATGAAGAAATCCAGCACCGGTTACTGAGCCAGCAGCTGGGAGATGCCACAACAGGGAAGGGGGGCTGCTTTCCTTCATGCTCCACCTCGGGATTCAGCTTCTGTCGCTGCAGCTCCCTGGGACCACAGGCCTGCCCCTCACCACTGCCAAAATCCTTTTGGGGCAGCAGGGACCTGAGAGCGGCTGCACGCAGTTCCAGGAGCGAGTGCTTGCACACACCACTTCCACAGCATAGAAAAATAAATAAATGGGCTTTTATCTCACAGGGAGGAACTTCATTTAAAAGGTGCTTCCTAAGCCTCTCTGCAGATAGGGGAGCAACCACTGCTCCCCCCAGCAGATGCTGGAGCTGCGCCTGGGGGCTCCCTGCTGCACTGTCCCCGCAGCGTGCAGGGGAAGGGGCTCCCTCGCCACAGGCACCCCGCAGCTTTCCTGCTCCTGCTTTCCATCTGCATCTGCCTCCGTGGGTGGGCAGCAGCCCCTCGCCCACCAGCCGTGCCCCTGTCCTGCAGGTGAGCATTTACTTGGCACCGCAGTCCGGACACTTCTATTTTTACAGGACAGGAGCTGCAGGTGCCGGGCGAGGTGGCTCAGAGCTGGCACATCCATCGCGGGCAGCACCGGGCAGAGCCACTGCCTGGCCACCTCCAGCCACCTCCCTCGCCCCAGCCAGGGCAGGGGCACTCTGGAGGTGCCACGTTTTCAGTCTGGGCAGTGGCAGGTCCCCAGCAGCGAGGGCAGACGGAGATGTGGGGGCACACAGCTGCTGGCACGTCTCGCCCTGGCAGCAGCACAGTGAGGGGGTCGGTGCCGGCCGGCGCAGCCGTGCGGGTTCCAGCCCGGCCTTAGTCGTTCTCGCTCTGCAAGGGAGAGAGCAGGGGGTCAGGTGCTGCGCCCAGGCTGGATCCATCCCCTCTCCATACACACAGCCCCGCCAGCCTCACCTCCATTTTGCTGTATATCCAGCTGAGGAGCTTCGTCACACGTGTGTAGACCCCCGGCTTGTTCTTCTGGCCACATCCCGTGCCCCAGCTCGTCACCCCGGCCACGTACCAGCGGCCGTTGTCCTCGCAGACCAGGGGCCCTCCGCTGTCACCCTGGCAGAGGGGGGCAGAAAGGTGAGGAGAAGCAGGCAGCTCTGCCCTGTGTCCCCTGGCAAGGACCCTGTGCCCCTGGCTCACCTGGCACGCATCCTTCCCCCCCTGCAGGTACCCAGCGCACATCATGCGCGGGGTCAGGTAGCCCTCGTACACCTTGTCGCTGTTGCAGATCTTGTAGTCAATGAGCTTCACCTCGGCCTCCCGCAGCTTTGGGGAGGTGTTTTCTGCAAGGCAGAGGAGCCGTGGGGCAGGGTGAGCCTCGTCCCCTCATTGCCCCCAGGCTCCTCCAACCACAGCAGAATCGTGCCTGCTCCTTGCAGGTGCTGGGCGCACAGGACCACGCTGTGGCACAGCCAGCATCCTCCCTCACCTTCATTCTCCCTGGTCTTCCCGAAGCCGGTGATGAAGCAGGACCTGCCTGTCTGGAATCGCTGGCCGTGCATGGGGAGGCAGGCCGGGCGCACCTGAGCTGGAGGGAGGCGTGATGAAAACCAGGCGAGGAGAGAGGGGTGAGTCAGCCGGGAGCAAAATAACAGCCGTAGTCACCAGCCCTGCAGCTAGGGAGGAGTGTGGGGCGCAGGAAATGCTCCCCTCCACACCGACCCCGGCCGTGCAGCCCACACAGGGCACCACGAGTGGCACAGCAGAACCCCACAGACCCCCAGCTCCCTCTGCCCCCAGCCCAGAGCCATCGGAGAGCCTCACCTGAGAGCGTCAGCGGCCGGGAGAGCTTCATGAGGGCGATGTCGTAGTCGTCGTGGTCATCGCTGTAGTTGGAGTTGATGATGACCTGGGAGACCGGGATGCCCTCCGTGTGCTGCTTCAGGTCCGAGACCCCCCCGTACACCTTCCAGTCATCCAGAATCTTCATGCTGTTCCTGGGAGGGGGGGAAATTAGCAGGGGGTGAGACGTGGGGGGCACGGGGCTGTGCCCAGCCCAGCAGCAGGGCTGCCCGCTCGCAGCAGCACTCACATGAAGAAGCAGTGCGCGGCCGTGAGCACCCACTGCGCGCCGATGATGGTGCCGCCGCAGATGTGGACGGGCCCGTACTGCACGCTGACCTGCCAGGGCCACTTGCTCACCGAGGTTTCCTTCCCTCCGATGATCCGCCCCAAAATCCGCTGCCCGCAGGCTGGGGGGGAGAGCAGAGGCCTCAGAGAGGGGGCGAGCCCCAGAGGATGCACGCCACAGGTCCCCCCCATGGTGCTTGGTGGCCCAGCAGACACCGTGGGACTGCAATCCTCCTCCCTTTTTTTTGGAAACTGCCCCGTTTGCCCAACCCATTGCAAAAACAGCATGATGAGGCTCCCCCAAGTGTTTATTCGGCCTTGCCTGCCCTTGTCCTTGCGCCCGGCCGGCCAGCCCGCTTACTTGTGCATCGCAGGGAGACGTACTTCCCCGTGAGACACTGGGAGCTGCGGGACAGAAGAGGGGGAATCGGATTCAGCCCCAGCCCCAGCACAGCCCTGGGGCACCGGGGCAGGGCAGGGGCTGCCCGCTACCTGTTGAGGCTCTGCTGGATGGTGTCGCGCTCGTTCGTCACCATGAGGCTCTTGCCGGCGACGTGCAGGGGGACGTATTCTGTCTGCGATGCACTGCGAGGAGAGAGAAGAGAGGCGGTGAGACCACAGCGCTGGGCAAAGCCCTGCTGGGTGAAACGAGGCTGGGGTGAAGAGGGTGGGAGGAATTACTTCTGAAAGCCCAGCTGCCGGCAGGTCTTCCTGGAGAAGGACTCGTTCCAGGCGCTGCTGCACACCGGCAGCCACTGGCTCTCGGTGCTGGAGTAGACGTGGAGCAGGGACTGGTCGGCCCCGAACCGCACTGCGGGGACGGAGCAGGGGGGTCAGAGATCCTCAGCACCAAGGGGCTGCCTGTCCCCGTGCCAGGGAACCCCACCTCCCCGTCCCCGCTGCCTCACCGCAGCCCAGCTCGTCGCTCCTCTGCGAGCAGTCGACGATGCCGTTGCAGCGCACGGGGCTGTCCTTGCAGCTCTCGGCGGGCTCCTTGTACACGATGCCGGTCTGTGACCGCCAGAACATAACTGCAGGCAGGCGCAGGGGCGTGAGGCTGGGACCCACCGCGGGCAAGGTGCAGTGAGCCCACCCAGATGGGGTCAGGACCATGCACCAGGCCTCCCAGCAGCATGGGTGCAGAGCTGCTGCTGGAGCCAGGCTGCATTCTCCAGGGCTGAGGAAGGGCCCCGAGCACCCCCAGAGCCCACCCAGCAGTAATTTGGCTGCACGCCTCTCGCCCCACTTCTCCTTGGCTCCCGGGGAGGCTGCGCTCAGCTTGCAGTGAGCAGAATGTAAAAAGCAGCCGGGCTGCCTGGGGCCAGCCACTTCCCTGGAAAGCTGCGCTCCCTCCTGTCCGCCAGATGTCAGGAAAACTCAGAAAATGGGCAGCGTGTGTCTCCCTGCTCGCCTGCCTGCCCTCCCAGCCTGCCCTCCAGCAGGATGCAGACCCTGCACAGCCCCGAGCGCGTTGGCTGGAGGCTGCGGGAGAGATCCCTGCCCGACAGTGCTGCCCAGAGCCCCCTCTCCGAGCTCTTTCAGCCCCCAGGAGCTCACTCACACAGCAGGATGAGGGCGACGAGCAGCACGATGAGGACGGAGACGCAGAAGATGAGCGCAAGCCGCCGCTGGCTCATGCAGGGAGCTCTGAACATCGAGGATCCTAGCAGCAGGATAGAGGCTGGGTCGGGGGGAGCCACAGCCTCCCTGGAGCACCCAGACCGTGCTGTGCCCCCAGCACCCCTGACACCCCCCCAGCATCACCAGCCGGTGCCAGCGGTGGGCACAGGGATGCATTTTCTGCCTCCCTCCTCCCCTGGGGGGACCGGGCAAGGGGCAGCCCCAGGCCAGAGAGGCCAGGGGTGACCCTCGGCACCGTCGTCTTACGTGTGCTCTCACAGGTCGTGCAGGGGGCCGGGGCCGGGCCGGACTCTGGGCTGTAGGGCTTGAAGCTAATGCCAAGGACGTTCTCTCGAGGCTGCGGAGGTCGGATGCTGAAGATGCTGCTGGCTGCAGAGGCATGGAGGCTGGGAGGGACGCTGCTGGGCGATGCCGTGCTCTGCGAGCAGAGGACACCGCTGTGGCACCTGCTGGGGTGTCCCCAGGGCTGCCACCCACTGCCCAAACCAAAACCAGAGTCCATTCAGAGCCGAGCTCCCCAGCACCGCCAACCTTTGCCACAGGTGGATATTCACCCACGGCACCGTGGGGAGCACGGGGAGGGACTGTGGAGGAACCTCTTTCTGCACCTCATTTGGCAAGGCTGAAAAACTCCCTGCCACAGAGCTCAGCCCCCTGGGGAGGCTGCTGGCCAAATTTTCCCAGCTGATAGCTTCAATCAGAGCAATCAAGTGGGTGTTTGGCATTGGGGCAGTCACACCGTGGCCCAGTTCCACGGGGCTAGTGCCCCAATTTATGCATCTATCTTTAATTAGCCATTTGAAAAATACACTGCAATTTCCAACTGTCATTTAGTAATAGTTAATAATCGGTGTTTTCCAAGCCCTGAAACGTCCTGCACCCTGGAATGCTGTTCTGCCGTTGTGTCACTCCCGATCTGTGAATTCGCAAAAGAAAATGTATTTGTTTCCTCTCCGCCACATTCTCCTCTGGGAGCTCCCCCGGTTTTGATCAGCTCCATAAGCAGGAGCCTCTCGTTTCCCTTTAGAGTCCTGCTGTGTGCACAGCCCACCACAAGCACCGTTTCCTCTGCCGTCATCCTCTCTTTTATAAAATCCCAGGCACATTTTTGGTGACAAGCCGTGGCCGTGCGCCTTATGGAAGTGCAGAGGACAGGGTCAGCCAGAGCAGGGCAGTGACGGGCCGGCTGGTGCACAGCTCCCTGCTGGCTGCTGCGTGCCTCCTCCCCGCCTCACCGAGCCGTGACCACTGCTGGCACTGTGCTGGTTGAGGGAGGCCGGCCGTAAACAAGTGCCAGGCAAAATTTAGACCATGTTGTCCCACAGAAGAGGGGGACAAAGCAGATCCAGAGCCTGCATTTGCTGGCAGCAGAGTGCAGCCAGCTCGGGGACCCAAGCCCCCAGCCTAGGGTGCCCATCAGGAGGTGGGATAAGCACACCCCTCCGAGTCTCCCTCTGCTTTCTGGCCCCGCAGATGCGGATCCCATTTCCCTCTGAGCAGAAAACCCCAGCAAGAAGCTCCTGGGAGAGGGACAGCACGGTGGTGGCGGAGCTCTGGGTGCCACCGTCACTGCCACCCTGTCCCCCTTTCCAGCTGGATTTTCCCTGCCCTCTCGTTTCCTGCTGGGAGCCCAGGGCCCTAATGAGCACGTCGGGAGCCTGCTCAGGCTCGTGCTTTGTAAATACGGCTGTGCCCTTCCTTGCAATGCGGCGCTGTCACTTCCTGGGCATTATCCCCTGAGTCACGCACCCGGCGTGGCCACACGCTGCCCGCACGGGGTCTGCCACGGCTGCCCCATGCTGAAAACCGTGGTGGTGGAGGGGGAAACCCTGAACAGCACTTTCGTGCCGTCTCTGAGCTGTGGCACAGCACCCAGGGCAGCCCAGCAGGAGCACCCAGCCCTGCCGGCACAGACCCGGGGCCGCGGCACCGCACCGCTAACGCCTCCCGGCCGCCCAGAGCCACCTCCCTGCTCAGCATCACCCAGCCCACGGCCACAGCACGCCGGGAGGTGCTCAGCCTGCAGCCAAAAGCCACTGTTCCCCATGGCAGAATTTCACAGCAGCTCTGGGTGCAAGGCAGGGACACCAGCACTGCACCGCCGCGTTCTCCGGGTGAGCCCTGGGCTGGTTTTCCTGAGCAGCCCTGCTGCTGGGATGCAGGCTCTTGCAGAAAGTTTTGCACCATGAAAAGTTCCCGGGCAGCCTTGCACCTGCTGTCAGAAAGCATGGTCAACTCAGCAGGCAAGGCTGAGCTGCAGCAGGCCCCTCACTGCACAAATAAAACAAACAGCAAGTGCCAGAACCCTTCCCAGAAAAAGCTTTTCCCACGCCTCAGTGGGGTTTTTGTAAAAACCCACGGCACCTCTTACAGCTACTGCCACATATCTGGTATTTTGCACGTCTCCTCCTGCTGCAGGTGTAACGTTGCAGTTATCAGATGAGCAGTATCGTGGTGCTGGGAAGGACAGAGCTTGCCATCGCACCAAAAACCCCAATTCACCAGGCAGCAGCACTGCAGGGTGCTGAAGCATCCCCAGCTCAGCACCGACACCCGCTGCAGCTCCAACTGCTCCTGTTGCTGCTGAGCAGGAAGCGCGTGCCCTTTCTTACGCTTGGGTGAACAATCAGCTACCAATTTCCTCAACAGTCTAAAGTCCAATTACTATTAATTCTTTTTTTGAGCTCTATCAGAGGAGCTAACAAAAGTTTTATCAGGGCTCCCAGCAACCAGCACAACTGGTTACTGCTGGGTGGCCACCGGCGCAGAGAGCAAACAGCAGCGGCTTTACAGGGATGATTTTTCTGCCAAGGAGTGTGTGCTGCCCTGACAAGCGAGCTGTAGCTGCTGCCCACAAAGCCTTTACTCATCCTTTGCTGCCTTTTGAATAAAAGTCAGACTCGGAGCAGCACCTCTCTCACACGTGCGGCTGTGGTTTGAGCCATTTTTTTTCTGACGTCCTCGCTGCAAATGTTCCATTGGCTGCGAGAGCTTTTCGCGCTGTTGTGGCTTTTAGCCTAAAAGTCAGGCAGATGAAGGAGAGCCGGTGATTTCCGTGCTGTGCTGCAAGCAGAGGTGGGGGCTCGGGAGTGCCCCAGCAGGGACCCAGCTCTGCCCCTTGCACGGCAAGAAGGAATCGTGCCTGGCCACACACAGCCCACGGGGCAGCCTGCACACACACACAGCACCTCCTGCCTTCTCCACTCAGCTCTGAGCAGAGCTGTGGAAAGCACCCCAGCCTCAGGCATGAGCCCTGGGGCCATCCATCCCTTCTGGGGGAACCCAGACCCTGCTCGCCTGGGGATGGAGCCCCCAGACTCATGCCAGGCTGCAGGTCCCCGGGGAAAGGCGGGCGGGAGGCTCGGCACCCAGGTGCGATGGGGAAGGAAGGGAGGGAAGCGAGAGCAATCAGCTGCAGTTTCGGAGTGGGAGGGAGAGTGGAAGCACCAGCAGTGTTGCAACAGGAGCCGAGGCCCAGCAGCATCCTGGAGGAGCATCAGGGTTGAGCAGCCAGGCAGAAAAACAAAGCATCGAACCAAGCAGCAAGAGGCCCGGCTTAAATAAGCTGCAGGGAGCTGCCTGAATGGGCGATCATCTTTCCCAGCTGAGCCCTCCTGCCACTTCTCACAACCCCTCCCTGCTGCCCAGACCCTGCTGCCTGCAGGGAATCGCCTTCCACCTGTCAGGGGGGTGCTGATTTTCTGTGCCAGCTCAGCTCGGCGAGGGAACAACGGCGACATTGTCCCCGTGCACCTGGGAGCAGCCCTCCCGAGCCTGCAGGTGCCTCTGGTCCCCTCGCAGCACCGTGCTCCTGCACAGGGCTCTGTGTTTCCAGCCTGGGAGAACCCAAATCCGAGCTGTGTCCCACCCCAGCTCACTGCTCACCCCCCAGCTGTGGGATCCAGGTGCCGCAGAGGGGCCGCGCAGGGGGAAATGAAATCTGGAAGCATGCAGGGGGCATTTTGCAAGCGCGGATGACAAGCTGTGCCGACTGAGTCAGCCCAATTGGGCCAGGGACAGGTCACCTTGTGCCAGAGAGCGCAGCCCTGCAGGCAGAGATCAGAAAATGTTGCAGGGGGTGAGTAATCGCTGCTCACCCCATTCCACAGGGGGGCAAACTGAGGCACGGGCAGCTGAAGTGACTCCTGCAGTTACGGAGCTGAGGGTGCTACCCAGGGCTCCCAATGGCCCGTTTAATCCACGCCACTGATCCCAGGCGGCCCAGGGATGCCCAGAACTGGGCAATTTTCCCCACGTGCAGGCATCCACATCCCAGCCTCACCAAGAAACCATGCGGCTGCCAGCTCTGGGTGCCGCTGTCAGACAGAACCATGCAGCGAAACGGTGCTGGAGGCGGGCAAGCCTGAGCTCGGGGCCTCGGCAAAAGGACAGGGCTGCAGGCTGCCCGGCACGACAACGAGCTCAGGATGCGGCCGCGGCCTCTCCCCATGCTCCAGGCTGCCTCTGAGGCACCCGGTGCCGGGGGGAAGGAGCAGGGTGACCTCTCCTGCAGGTGCTGCCTCCCCTCCAGCCCCGTCCCTGAGGCTCTGCACGCTCAGGCTGGTGCTGGCGCAGCCGCAGCGCTCGGTGCACTAATTACCCAGCACCGCGCCTGGGCGGGCTGAGCCCCGTGCCGGCCGGGGATGTTTTCCCCATGACGGGATGCTCGTTGCACCCCGGCGAGGCCCGGCAGCCGAAACCGAGCCGACCCTGAGCGACCCGACCTGTAAAGAGCGAGGGGAAAACTGCCGGGAGAGCGGCTCAGGGAGGGCAGCCGGGGCCACCCGAGTGCTGCCACCAAAACCCTGAGGGCTCAGGAGAGTGTGGCCCCTGCAGGTGTCATCCCAGCCCACCAGGCTGCCACCAGCCGGTCCCCGCCCTCCACAAGGCACCCGAGGCACAGACCCCTCCTGGCTGGACTAGCAGCGGGGCCGAGGGTCCCTGACACCCCTCCGACAGCACAGGGCTTGCGCCGGGGATGCTGGTGGCTGCCATCCTCCTCCTCCTCCTCCCTCAGCGCACCCGAGCCCCCGTGGGCAGCTCTTCGCACTCCTTCCCCCGCCGTGCCCGTGCCTTACCGGCGAGGTTTTCCCTTCCATGGGCCGCTGCGGGGCTGGGCTGGGGTCAGAGCTGCGGCACAGCCATCCTTCGGTGCGCAGCACGGCGCCAGGTCAGGTGCGCGGGGACGGGGCAGGAGCTGTTTGGCGAGCGGGCTCGTACGTCAGTGCCAGCGCCAGGAGGGAAACCAGTCCGACCTGCCCGGCTCCACCGCTGCCTCTTTCCCAACTGCTGCAGGCACGGCGTGCAAAACACCTGCCCCTGCTCCCCGGGGAGGAACCGGCCTCGGCCACGGGCCAGGGTGCTGCTGAGGGCTGGCCCCGGGGGAGTGCGGATGCCCACCGGGCACCCCAGGCATCGGGGCTGCCACCAGCTCCTCGCTGCTCTCCTGGCTGCTGCCTGCCCCATCCTCCCTCCCCGTGCCTCCTCTCCTGCCCCTGCTGAGCGCTGGGAGCACCGGTTGGGGACAGGAGGGGGTGCACGGCCCTGCCAAAAACCCCCTCCTGTGTCCCAGTGACCAGGCAGTCAGAACGCCATGTTGCAAGGGCTGTGGGATGCCACCTCGTTTCTCTCGAGGCTTTTTCACTCATCTGCTGGTGGAGCGATGCTCTCAACTTGTGTGTGGAAAAAGCAACGGTCTTTGGTTTCCTCTGTGGGTGCAGGCTTGGAGATGCTTTGCTTTACCCGGAACGCACATTTGGGGTAAACAGGAACACAAAATCTGGATGGAAGGAAGAAGACCCAGCTCAGCTGGCTGCTCCCTGACGTCCAGGGGGGGCCGGGCTGAGGGAGCAGCACCAAGGCCAGCTGCACATTGGCCCCGGTGCGGGATGCAGGAGCCCAGGGGCCAGACCCTCATCCCTCAGTGCCATGTCCCCAGCCCCGGCTGCCCCAGCACTGGGCACAGAGGGGATCAAGGAGGCCGTGGGGAGCCTGTACCTGGATCCCTGATGCTCGGAGCTGCTCCATGGTCTCTGCTCCCCACCACGCAGCAGGGAGGAACGATGCTGCAGGTCCCCAAGGTGCTTTACATGCCCCACGCTGCTCCCAGCCCCGGCCGGGGTGCGCAGCCTTGGCTGGAAGAGGTCAGTGTGAGAAAAGCCAGCGCTCTCTTTTCCAGGCACGTTTCTCCCAGCATTATTCATAGCATAAATCCCTTATTCATCTGGCTCCCCACCCACACGTGCCCTTAGGAAGTGCAGCAAACAACCAGGGCCACCCAAGCTTGGAGGATGCTAAGCTAAAAAGCCCCCTTGATTCCACAGCCCGCGAGGTGGGGTTGGGACCCGACTCCCTGCCTGATCCCCCCTGACCATGCAGGACTGGAAGCATTTTGCCTGCTTTGTGCAGCCCCCCAGTGCCTTCCAGTGCTCTGCCCTGCTGTGTGCAGGCAGGGGAGATGCTTCCCCCTAGGAGCTGAGCTGGCCCCAGTGCCCTCGCACCAGGCACCTCCTCTTCTGAACAGCGGCTCCGAAATGAGCTCTGTGGCAGCTCCGGGAACGATGCCTTGCTGTTTTCACTACAAAGTCACTTACAGAAGGCAAGTTACAGAGAAGTGTGCACCTGGGCTTGACCCCAGCAACCTTGTGTTAAATGCCACGCTCACTGCCACGCTCACAGCCAGCACCCTGCTGCCGAAATCCCCGCATCTGCTTGCTGCTGGGAGCCCTGCTGCAGCCCCCCTGCCCCAGCCAACACTTTGACCTGTTAATAATGCACGGGGAGAGCCCGAGGCTGCTCTGCTCCCTGCTCTGACCTCGAAGCCTGAGGGAACTGGGGATGTAAGGGGAAAACGCGGCTCTCCCCATGGCAGTGCTGTGCCGGCACAGGACCAGTCCTGCAGAGGTGGGCTCGGTGCTCGCAGCCCCCGTGGAGCGGTGCTGAGGGTGCGAGCAGTGGAGCTGGGCAGGAGCAGGGCACCTGCAGCTCCCGGTCCCTGCCAGGAACCTCACTGCCTCTCCCGGCAGGTTCTGGAGAAAGCCCTGCAGTGCGGCTCTGACTCAGGTGATTTCCAGGTTATTAAAAACACTGCTAATTCTACGCAAAGCTTAGTCAATTATTTTGAAGATAAAAAGGAAACTCGGCAGTGTTCTCGGGCTCTGGTTAGACCCACAAACTCAAAACCTCTCCGCCCCTCACTGAAAACAGGGGCTGCTTTTTTCTGTTCGCACTCTGGTTTCATCACGGCTCCGGTGGTCAGCAGCCCCCGGGGCGAGCGCAGAGCTCAGCTGTGGTTTTCTCAAGGTGCCTTGAGCCGGGGAGGGGCTGAGCAGCCCCAGCACAGCGTGCTGCTGCAGGACAGGATGCCTGGGATGTCTCAGAGCATTCAGCAGGGGAGAGGAGAGCAGCAGCTGGATGAGCAGCCCCAGCAGCATCCCCCTGCGTCCTGCCGCGGCTCCTGGCGGCGCTGAGCACCGGGGTGTGCTGCTCACCGTGTCAGAGCGAGCCTCCAGCAGGGCTGTCACTTCTCCTCAGCCTGTTTCATTTTCCCCTAAACCATCACCCATTTCTCCTCTCAGCACCGGCCCCACTGCCTCTTTTCCACCAGGCTCCCTCCTTCCTCATTTTTTGGTCCCGCTGCTTTTGTTTTTCATTCCTTCGCATGAAACATAAGCTGTGGCTTGCGTGGGCCGGGCCGCACTTCATCTCGGGACTTCGAAATTCTGTCTCAGCCAGATTTGACTCAGGAGCGGGTTGTGGGGTCACAGGGCATCAGCTGCTCTCCAGAGCAGAACAAAGCGGGGCTGGGTGAAGAGAAAGAGAACAGAGCAGCGCCTGGCCGGGCTGTGTGCTCCTTGAAGCCTTTGGGCTTCGCAGGAAGGATGAGTCAGGGCCAGGCTGTGCTCAGAGGCAGGGCAGAAAGCAGAGGGCTCCTGCTCAGGCCTTTCAGACGGCCCCGAGGAGCCAGCCCCCTGTGCCAAAGGCTGCCGGGGAGCCGCTGCTCTGCACCTTGCCGTGGTGGCCGCGGTGCTCTCAGTTTCTCTCGCTCTGTTTCTCTCTGTCCTTTCCACTTATCCCCCAGCGGGAAATTCCTCTCCACAAGGCAGAGCACTCCCAGCACAGGAGGGCCCCTGGGTTCGCGCAGGCCCCAGGCCAGCCCTCAGGCCCTTGTACTGCCTGCTGGGAGGCAAAGCCGAGGGCTTGTGGCCAAGCAGCCGGCCCAGCTCCTGACCCCCGAGGGTCACCAGCCGGCAGGACACGGCCTCGGGGCCCTGCAGTGTCACGGGTGGATGGGGCCGTGGCTGACAGCTGATGGGGCCCTGGGGACAGTTCAAGGGCCTGAAAGCCGGCCGTGCCCTGGCCACCACACGTAGGCGTTTCCAGGACACACAGCGGCCACGGGGCTGTCCCCCAGCCCCAGAAGTGGGCAAAACGAAACAGGAGGGCAGGGGCTGAGCCCAGGGGAG